TTTTATTAGCAATGGAAAATTCCACAGTAAATGACAATTAGCAATTGTTATTGTAGCTGAAATGTATGTAAAGTGATTACTCAGCACAAGACACAAGCCCTGCTCAGTCAAGAGCCATGCAGGCTGAATTATTGCTTTTGTCAGTACAATGTAGAAAGTACACACGTAAAATGACACTTTTACCACAATGTTACAAACAAACAAAGGGGGAAAAGGGGCATAGAGGACCAAATGCAGCGGAGGGCAGTGGGTTGGATTCAAACATGGGCTGTTGCAGCAAAGTTTTAGTTTTAGGGCACTAACTAACTACTACTGGCTCACCTTGTCTGTCTTCCTGTCCCACTCTCTGCGCATGTGTCTCTCTTTTTGCTGTTTGCTAGTACTGGGCAAGGTGCCAGAAGACCTCCTGCTCCTACTTACTGCTTCTACTTCAGCCCTTCCTGACTAAGGAGAGACACTTATTGTTTCTGCATCAGCACTTAATGGCTCAGTTGGCTGCTTTTGGTCTACCCAACTTGTCTATGTCTACCTCATTTTCTGTCAGCCCCCTGGCTGCTGTGGGCCCATTGCCAGACTTAGAGCTTTTAGTACTTTAGATTTTCTTTCCTTCTCTGTCTGACTACTTGCCCATTAGAGTTTGGTGATATTGTACCTGCTCTTGTGAGCTAATCACCATCACACATAAACACCTAATGCAATAATACTTGGCAGGGCCAGGAGAAATCTTCACTCATTACTTTAATGTAATTGCATTGAATGCAGATTAGTAAATTGAACATACATATATTTCACACCAAGATAAATACTCCTGCCTTACCCTTCTCTGTCAAACCACAATTCAGTGTTCCTGTGTGAATGTTGAGTTATTGGCTTAAAGAAACCCCTTTCCATAGCATTAGAATCAAAATTGCATACTATTTCTAAGGTATTATCACACATGTTTTTTAAATGTAGGCTAAAACAAACACTTTACTTCTTGTTTTAAAATGTAACTTGGCCTGGTCTAGGGTTATGAGCAGACAATGTTCCCATACCATTCCTCAAAGCAGCAAGAGCAGGACATGTTGGAATGTGTAAAACATGGCACGTCTGCAGATGTCTTGCACACTTACACACACACAGACACTGGGACATGTGCACGTTAACTACTGAGGTATGTAGAGAGCAAAAAAGCAGCCTTCACATCCCATATTGCCCTCTACATCTGTGCTTTCTCTTTTGTATCTATTCTTTCATTATGTTTCTCCATATCCCTCAGTAGTTCTTAACTGACTTTCCATCCCTTCTTCCATTCGTATTTTTTTCTCTCTCCTTCACCTTCAGGATGGTAAATCCAGCTGCCCACTGTTGCCCTCACAGTGTTTGATGGAGTGCTGTAGTCTCTGGCCCCTAGCTGTGTGTTAATGCACTACTTGCACCTGCCCTTGCTGGAGTAATAGCACCACACACGTTCACAAACTCACTCATTCACTCACACAATGTCTGGCTGTAATACACACACTAATGCGTCTTACATACATAATCCAAAGTGGATACCACTGTTAAATCGACAAACTACCAACCATTGTGTTTTTCTTCTTCCTGTGTACCCTACTTTTTATAGTCTTGACAGCTGGACAAAACATTGTCCAGACCCCCCCCCACCCACAAAAAACCTCCATGCAGCAGGTGCACTCTGCCCTTTAGGACATCTACTTAAGCAATGTTAGATAGTGATTCCCCTAGTTTCACTTATCAAAGAGTTAATAGAGAAGAGGGAATGGCCCCTGTTGTGCTCCAGATTAGCTTGCACTTCGAACATCTCTAACTTTTCCAGAAAGAGCGGAGACTCATGGGAACAGTAAGTCTGAGTGGAGGCCTACTCATCCCTGCTGCAATCATACTGTATTTAGTACTCTAATGCAAAAGGCCAAATGGTCACTGGATCTGGAATTCCTATAATGCTTCGCTCTATCTACAGGGGTCATGTTGAGACACAGTCAATAGTGTGTGTGTGTGTGTGTGTGTGTGTGTGTGTGTGTGTGTGTGTGTGTGTGTGTGTGTGTGTGTGTGTGTGTGTGTGTGTGTGTGTGTGTGTGTGTGTAATTAATTGAACAGGGACAGTGCACATTAATCAACATTTCTGTAAATGTGCCAGAGTTAGCCCAGAGGCTATTTTTCATCTTTTCAAATTTGATAAAAACCGATACAAAAACACAACAAAAAAAAACTTACAAATTTAGCAAAGCAAGAGTGGAACAGACAGACACACACTTTACCAATTAACAGAACATGAATCTGTGAATTGAACACAATCTGTTCACCTGCATGTTAGTGAAGCAATCAACATTGGCCCCTCTGTTGTTTCCCCGACTCAGACTGCAAGGAATCTAGGTGTGACCCTAGATAACAAACTGTCCTTCACTGCAAACATCGCTGCTACAACCCGCTGCTGCAGATACACGCTTTACAACATCAGGACGATACGTCCCCAGCTGACCCAGAAAGCGACGCAGGTTCTGGTCCAGGCTTTCGTCATCTCACGCCTAGACTACTGCAACTCCCTCCTGGCTGGTCTGCCTGCATGTGCCATCCGACCTCTGCAGCTCATCCATAATGCAGCGGCTCGTCTGGTCTTCAACCTTCCTAAATTCTCCCACACCACGCCGGTCCTCCGCTCCCTTCACTGGCCTCCGGTAACTGCTAGAATCCACTTCAAGACAATGGTACTTGCGTACCATGCTGCGAATGGATCTGGCCCTTCCTACATCCAGGACATGGTTAAACTGTACACCCCAGCAGTGATCCGCTCTTTGCATTTCAGTCAATCAGTCTTCTGCATGTTGCTACCCCGCATTCTGCGTGTAGGGGGACCATGTTCCGTTCTTTAGGCATGTATATAAACTACGTGGTTTTTGCTATCCTGGCTTCCTAATATGTTTAATTGGGATATGATGGCTCCCCATTGATATCATGGACTGTCATGGACTCCACTTCGAGCGATAGAACTATTATCAAAGCACTTGTATACTAATAAAGGACTGGCTTATCTAAAGCCAGTTGAGTAGCACTTGAAATGTTTTAGCTCTATGAAACCTGATGTACTTATATGATTCTGTTTTCTTCAAGTTTGTACTTTGTTGGTCGAACGCACTTATTGTAAGTTGCTTTGGATAAAAGCGTCAGCTAAATGCAATGTAATGTAATGTAATGAAGTGGCAGGCAGGGAGACAGAGAGAGGTATTTACCCTCCATATCTTCCATTTGATAGCTACCTCTCAGACAGAAGGTGAAGAGGTTGCTGGGTAATTTGTCTCTGAGAGGGAGAAAAGGCAAGTCAGTAGTTGTTGTTTTTAGCACTTTCCAGTAATTGTGTAGTTTGATTGTGCTGTGTATGTGAATCCTGTGTGTATCAACACTGTCTGCTGTTTACATTGAACATCCGTTGAACTTTTAGAGGTGGAAATGAACAACTACAAATACAAATAATATAGCTAATTTCTAAAACAATCTACCCAAATAATCTTTGTTCATGCCCAGTACATACAGTATCTGTTTACATCTGTGCCCACTGCTCCTAGTACTAGACTCCTGGTATTAGGATGGGTTAAAGCAGAGAACAAATGTCACTGTGTGTGCTGTGTGCTCTGCATGTGTGACCATTAAAGAGGGTTTCATCCCTCCCAATTCTATTCTATTCTATCTATATATTGTTACAAAACCTTCACTAAGTTATAGACTCAGTGCCATGGACACTTGTAGGGAATGAAGTGCTATCACTGTAAGAGGGAATCATTCTGAGAAGTGGAGCCTTATTGGAACAGGTGATGTAAGAATTGAATGTGACTCCCTGGGACAGTTCCAGCTCCCTGGAAGAATGTAGCATGTGATGGATGGATCCTCTTCTCCTCTCTCAACAGCCTGTTTGGCACACAACTCCCTCAACTCCTCAGTATCTTAAAGCAAGCCAGCTATTCCTCCCTCCTTCTCTTGTTGTGTTTGAAATAGCCTCTCACCATAGGAATATCATTGACATGTCATAATGGCGAGTTTGTAATCCCCCCACTCCGTTTCATTTTGGAAAAATGGCAGACGGAAGATTCTTCCATGTGCTACCATTAAAAAAAAAAAAAAAAAAAAAAAAAAAAAAAAAAAAGAGAAAAAAGCAAGAAAATAAATCGTATAGTGAAAAGCATTTGAGTCTCCTGTGATGTAATGCTGGTGTTAGGTGTGTTGTAGTTGACACTAAGCTGGATACTGGCGTTACTGTGTTGGACGTTATTTTGGAAAGATATTCCCTTTATATTGGCCTAATACTCATGCTCCTAATAGTCTGCTATTTAACTAAACATGTCATTCAACTTTGTAGATTTTCTGGCATCTTGTGAAACATTTAAACCAAGAAGTTGACAATTATATGCACATCTCTTTTATTTTCTTCCTGGGCACCAAATGGTTGTTATGAGCTTTAAATGTTATCACAGGAAGCTTGCTAAATCCAGAAGGATACAAATACAGATAAAATGTGCCTCACAGATGAATACATATATAGAAATACTTTTCAATAAATAGTATAATATACTGTATATGTATATATAATATATAAATACGACTGACATAGATAAAAAAACCTCATGTGCAGATAATAGTGTATCATACAGTTTAGTAAAATGTATTGTTGAGATGGTGGCTTTAGGGCAAAGTTCACTGTTTAACAACATTTTAAGGCTTACTATAATATATAGATGCACTTTTATTTGACTTATTTGTATGGAGTCACACCAACAGGTTAACGTTGGAAACAGAGGGCATCACTAGCCAGAGTTTAGATATATGCGACAAACTCAGTGTGTTGGTTATATCTGTGTTCAAGAGCACCTGGTTTCTCAGAACCTTTGGAAACACTGAGAGGGAAAGAAAGGGGTCAAGACCAATTAAAGGCCAATCAAGTGTTTAACGAAGCCACAGCAGCAGTGTTTAAACCTGCCGGACTGCACTTCATTTTTTTATTTTTTTATTAGGTGTGAAGTCTCCGGGCCCGTCACCGACTCTCGAGGGCTCGGTCCAAAACCTGGAGCTGAAGTTCTGCAGCCGTGCGACGGTGAAATGCGCCTCGGGAACCGTGGGAGCTGTAAAAGTGTGCGCCAGGACCCCAGGTGTGTGCAGCTGTGCCCTGTTAAAACTTTACTGCCTGTGTAGGAGGGAGAGCGACTAGACTATTATTTTACTTTCTTTAGCTTATACTTTTATACACTTCACTCTGTCTCTCTCCCTCTCTTTCTCCCGCTCAATCTTTATCTTGATTTCTTTCCAGCTTTGTGATTCAGTTGCTGTTTTCTCCTGAGGCGCTGTCATTGGTCTCTGGCCATGTCTTTAACAGCAAGGATGTTATTGGAGCTAGTGTCATAGCACAGAGTTCACAAGGTCAAACTGAACACATGATGTCAGGCAGATTATAAGATCTATTGCAGCTGTCAATATAGAAATAAGACGGGAAAAAAGCATGTGCAGTTAATTGTCTTGTTTCAAAATTAACATCTGCAGGTGATGTATGCAAATATTGTACACATAGTGTTTTTTCAACATATGCATAATATATGAATTTGCCTTTAATGCTTCACTCTTAGGTTCAGGAGAGGGGGTTAAGGAAAAGCTGGTTCCTCTGGTTCAGGGCCCGTCTGACACCAAAGAACTCCATATGAGCCGCTGGCTGAATGAGATCCGCAAGCCTGAATCTTTGTTGGCTCCTGACCTTCTGGTGTTTTCTGTCCAAGTCCCACAGCAAGGAGGCGATTGCAGGAACTCAGGTAGAAGCTTTGTAATGTTGCAACTCTCTCTTTCGAATGCATCTGTCATTGTACATGCTCTGTAGTGCATTTTCTTACTCAGCATGTGTGTTTTGGAAATCAGAAATCACCATTGCACACTGATATTTTAGTTTTTAAACTCATTTTCTGGTCGTGGTTTTATTGTTTGGACTGGTCCCAGGCTCTAGTAGTCCATATTCCATCTCAATTATTGGTCATCTAATGCAAGAGTCTCAGTTTGTTTAGGTTTTCAGATTTTCCTTCCTCCTATAATGTCACGCAATGCCCCCTTTCAGTTATTTGTTTGGTAAAGCCGATAAGTGTTTTCCACGCCAGTATCCTTGAGGCAGAGTTGGCATGCCGGCGTCTCTTTACAGGCAGCAGGAGTTTTCTAAATATCAGTTAGTCTCTTTCAGCGCGGGGCAGGTTAACAACAACTAACACTCCAGGATTGCTGCTGCAGGCCGCACTGATGTCAGGTTGCAGTTCTTGATTGCACCCTAAAACCACAGATTATATTTCTGGTTTCGGTTTGAGAGTGTGTTGGTGCATGCATGTGTGTTTAGAGAAAGGGTGTGGGATTATTTATTAGCTCTTCCAAAAGACTCAAAATACAATTCAGATTCCAAAGCTCAAAGTGCTGTTGTGCGTCATTAAGTGAGTTTGTTATTAAATGCCTAAAACTCAATGCATCTCATTCATACAGCTTGGTCTCCAGTGTTCTCTCAAACCTTTCCTACCCATCTACCCCAAAAGCTGCAAGGGGTGGTTCTACCCTTTATAGATTTACAGACACAATTAAGAGACCACTCCAAATTGTTCTTAAATCTCAATCTCTCCATGTATGGCAGCCATTCTATTCCAGTATCTGTTGAATTCCAACACAGATAAATGTTGTCAGAGTTGAGAAATGTCAACTGCACTCCTTCTCATTATTGCCTCAATACTCTCCTTTTTTTTCTTTTTCTGGCTTTAATGTTCCGTATTTCTCGCTTGCTTTTTTCTTATTATCTCTATCTCTCCTTTTGGTTCATTTTAATCTCAAATCTAGAAAAAAATCTGTTTTCCATTGGCCATTTTGGCATACTTTCATCTGTATTCATTTTGTTCCCTGAAAGTCTAATGAGACATTCATTTTTATTGGCTATACAAAGGAATGAATAAAAGCAAGTTGAATATGAACTTTATTGTATTTTGAACTCTATTTTAAACCACACTTTCTGCCAGAAGTATATATTTTATCTGAGATGTCCCTACAGTCAGCAGTAACAGCAGTAACAGTTAAATAATAACAATTCCAACCGAGCATTTCTCTGTGCATGTGTAATTTGTGTTAAAGATGCTGTTGAAGAACAGTTTTTTCCAAACGCAGTGTGTGTTCAGAGGCATTTGTGGGTGCCTACTTATATGTCTGTGTTTTGTATGGTTGTGGGGATTACATCAAAGCCTTTGGTCAGTTCGCATGTGCCGTGTCCCCGCTGTCGTCCAGAGGGTGACTGAGAGCCTGTTAGAGCGGTGTTAATGGACTGATGGTTGCAACGCCTCATTTAGTCAGACATGGAAAGGTGGAGTTAGCACCACTCTAAATTTGCTCCCATAGGACCGACTCAGAGGCTAAACATTTTGTGATCATGACATTGTTGGAGCGCTTGGCCTTGGCATCAAACACATTTTATTCATCCCATGTGGCTCTGTTGATTCCATTTAGCAAATTCTTAAAGCGTGACTATTACACATTGAGCGTAGGAGGGGGCTAAGGAAGTAAGAGAACGGCTAACTATTTACACCATAGACATGCTGAAAAGATTAAGATGTAATGAGCCACAATCAACTTTCGTATTTTATTTTGATTTTGATTAGTTGCTTCTGGTTTTTGTATAGATGCAATAGTAATGTGGGATCTGTCCACCCAATTCTCAAAGAAAAACATTTGTTTAAGAAAGGGGGAGCTAGCTGGTAATTGTCATCAAGCAACCAACATAGTCACTGAAGTGTTTGAATATTCTGTAAATACTCACATGCCATGGTGCTTTCACAGACATATGCATTTGTTTCATGTTTTGGTGAATGTGATGGACTGCAGTTGAATATTAGTCTAGAGAAGCGTTGTCTTCAGTGTTTCCCCACTGGTCATGTATGTGTGATCTCAGTGTTGGAAAATGCCATCCTTTTCCTTATGTATCCTTTGATTCATCCAAGAAGCCATTTCATCCATGTCTTGCATTTCCCCATTTTGAAGAACCAGGAATGCCCAAATCTCTGCGGCCACCTCTGATATACTATTTGGTCACCATCTCAACTCAAGTCTAGTTCTGTCTTATACTGTTTTGACCTCTGTCTTTAACACACTTGACTGCCTGAAATATTTTAAACAAACCCACAAACAAGTTTCCCCTGAACTAAAGTAATCAAGTACACATGTTTTAATCTTCTTTCTATCTCTCTCACAGCAAAGTGAATTCATCAAGGAGATACGTTACTTTTAAATATGGCCAGCGACATCTGTTTTCCGTCTAATTATTTACCAGCAAAATCTCAATTCCAGTTTACTGAAGGTTGGATGGCAAAGGATGGCGGTTGGAAGGAGTCCCTATACACTTGTAGAACTCCAGACCCAGACGGATGTGTTTCCATTAACCAGAGTTGAGGTTGGAACATTATAAACAATTAAACAATTACAGTCATGGGTTTTAACGCAGAAGATCTAAGCAAATCTGCTTTGAAATAGTCTTTTATAGATCCAAAGGCCTATAGCCATTTCATATCTTGCCGTTAACTCTTTAAACATTAACAACTTGACAGTCCCAGACGCTCTTCCCCTCTTTAGTTCCAGATATACCCACCAACAAAACTATTTTTTGGCATTGGAAGTGTACTACGATAGCCAATAATTATCCCCTTTTTCTTTTTCATTTTCTCTCCTTTTACAACAACCAAACATGATTCATGCTGGTGCTCTGCTCTGACACAAAGAATAATGAGAAATCAATGCCATTATTAAGTATCCTGAAAGTAAACTATAGTGAGGGATGGGGATGAAAGCCAGGCAGCAGTGGGAGGAGTATGGCTGGAGGAGGTCAGGGGTGAGGGAGTTTGAGTCACGGTGGCAGGCCGCAGGTTGGCAGGCTGCCTGAGAAGGGCACAGCTCAGTGTTCCACTTGCAGGGCCAGCTGAGAGCCAGGGACAGGTCATCCTTCACTAGCACACACTGATGCTGTATTCATTAAGGCTAGTAGATCTATTCATGAGTTGTACACTTTATCAGAGTAGAGAGGAGATGTATGGACCTCCAATGCTACACTGCTACAACTATAAAGACAGCCTGATCTGTTAGATCCCCGTCAGTGGCTGGCTGTTCTGGGGCCTGTCTCTGCTGATGGATGGGAAAGACTAAGCAGTGTGAGAGAGGCGAGGGCTGGAGGGCGTGTGAGGAGCTGGGGTTTATGCTGAACCTCAAGGCGAGCGGCAGCCTGCAGGTGTTCCCCCCCCCCACTATCCACCACCCTGACGTGCACCAGAGGGGGAGGGCTAGGGTCGGGTGGGCTTTATGATCACAGAGAAGACAAAATGCGAGAGAGAGTGAGGGATAGCATGTGTTTTCCCCTGGCACGCCAGCAGCTGCGAGACAATGATTTATGCTTTTCTCAGAACTCTGGGATCTCAAAATGTTACATTTAATCAAGCATACTGAGAGCAGAGCAAATGTTAAAGATGTTCCTTATAAAGCCCTCCAGTTTTTATCTCTTTACCATTCTGTGGGAGTAGTGGGAATAGGGAAACAAAGTTATCTTTCATCTTAATTTAAACATATCGGAAGGAATTATAAAAGCTACATGGAATTAACCCTTGGAGAATTCCCTCCTGTACACTTATATTAACAATATGTAGATCCCTTATAGCTAAAACAACGTTTTCTTGAACACTGAACTACCTTTTAGTACTGTAACAACATCTTTCTACAGTTGTAAAAGTAAACTGATTATTTCTATTGATAATAGAAATCACAAATGCACACATTCATTAGTACAGATTATTTTTAAATAGTATTAACATTTGCTGAATTGCTATTTATATCTATTTGCATCTTTACTGATAAGGTGTTTTTTAGAACGTGTGCATGCATGTGTGTTTGTGTGTGTGTACAGTATTTGTGTCCACAGCAGTCAGAAGCAGCTGGGATCCTACACAATCTGGCCTGTACTAAAGACTAATGACAGCAGGTGGGTATGAAGCGCCACCTGACTTTGATCTGAGCATTTCAAACAAACACACATGCATGCACTACACTCACTGAGTAGCACCCACGTGCACAGGCATGCATACACGTAGAAACATTTGCCAAACATGATCTCTTTGCCTCCCCTCTGAAACCGTGGCCATTGAATGGGTTGAACCGACACCGTAGCTGGGGTGTGAATTTTGGGATCTCCCTTGGTAGCCTCCTCCATTTTAATCTTTCAAAGGCCTGCCATACTTTCATATGTCCATCTATCATGCTCTTTCCCCTCCTTTGCATGTGTTCACTCACTCCATTGAGTGTTAAATCAACAGTCTGGCTTTGTCTCAGGCAGCAGCGTGATGGCTTTAAGCTGTTGGTCTGAATTTCCTCAGGCTGATAGACCTACACTAGACAAAATGGTTCTAATAATAGATTCATTTTACATCCCTGTGAGAATGCACAAAAGAACATTTCTTTAGCTAGCTTTCTTAGTAACGTGGCTTTCTGTGAAGCTGTCGGGAACCGAAATTACTTAAAAGAAAATAAGAGTCTATATATATACACAGTATGTGGTACAAAGGCTCCAGGTTTTGCAGCATACCCAATACAATGGTCCCACACTCAATTTAGATTTCATTCAGGTAATGAAATTGGACCATAAGAGGTTGTTTCAGCTGTTTATTTGTTTAACAACTTTGTAACTTCCTGAACAATCTGTTTAATCTTCAAGGCAGCCGCCCTCATCATGTCTTGTCAGTCAGTGTGTGTTAAGCAGAGCAGG